AAAATGCATAATAAAGGATACTTTACCTAGATACCAAAATGTATCATAAAACTATGTGTATTAGTTTTCTATAGCTATTTGACGAATTATCACAAACTTAGTGGCTTAAAACAACACCCCTCAGGAGTTCACAGTTCTGTCAGAAGTCTGAGAAGGTGTGAGTGGGTTTTCAAGATTTTACTAGACTGAAATCAAGGTGTTAGCCAGCTGAATTCTCATCGGCAGGATCTGGGGAAAAATCTGCTTCCAGGCTCATTCTCGTCATTGGCAGATTTCAGTTCCTTGTGGATGTGGTACTGAGGTCCCTGTTTTCCTGCTAGCTGTTGGCCAGGGGTAGCATTCAGCTCCTCAGGCCCTTGCCACATGGCCTCTCCATCTTCAGTAAGGGAGATTCCCTTTCACCAAATTTTTCTCATGCTTCAAATCTTTCTCATTTCCTCTTCTGCCACCAGCTGAAGAAAGTTCTCTGACTTTAAACAGCCCATGTGATTAAGTAGGCTCACCCAGATCACCTCCTTTTCTTTAAGCCAATCATGCCAGATAACATAATCTAATCACAGAGGTGAAATTCATCACCTTCTGGTTGTGAGGATTAGGGTGGGAAATCTAAGGGGCCATTGAAAAATTCTGTTTACCACATTAGGATAATAAACAATGTGGTCTTTTGTCAGAATACATAAGTATATCAATAGAGGAGAAACAGGACCATTTATGTAGTATGTGGAATGCAGTGTAAGCTAAGATAGCTCTTTAAATCAATAGAGAAAATATGGGCTAATAAATAGTTTAGGGACACATGGACATTATTTCAGGAAAAAATAAATTTCTACATCAAACCATATTCCAATTTCAGATAAAGTTTTAAATGTAAAAATAAAATGACAAAAGTACTGGAAGAAAACATATAAGGGTATCTTAGAATCTTGGGATGGGAAATAACTTTATAACTTTCCGAGATAAAATTCAGACAAGAGATTATTGATTATATAAAAAACATTTCTGAACAGCAAATGATAAAGTTAAAATAGATGATAAATTACAGAAATTGTTTGAACATGAATAGAGAGGACTATCATTCTTAATATGTAGAGAACTCTTAAAAATGGAAAATAATCCAAAAGAATGATCAAAGACATGAAAAGAAATTCTCAAGAAAATAAGTGCACGGACAATAAAAATACAAAATGGTTCAAGCTTACTAATAACCAAGTAAATGTAAATTACACAATATAACATTTTCATCTCTCAGATTGTCAAAAATTAGCTTGGTAATTCTCCATGTTTGCAAGGCTGCCAACCATAAATTGCTGATAGGATTGTAAATTGGTAGGGCTATAAATTGGTATAACTTTTTCTGGAAGACAATCTGACATCTATATCAAAAAGGTAAACTGCAATTCCATTTCTAGGACTTTATATCAGGCAAGTAATTATTTATATACACACATGCTCAATATGTATGAAGAGGGAAAATATAAACAACCTAAATGTTCATCAGGAAATGACACAAATTATATATTGAAATTCTATAAACATTAAAAATAAGACCTCTATATATTCATATGGAAAAATATTTAATGCCAAATGAAAAAGAATAGTTTCAAAGAGTTTGAGTAGTTTGATTCCATTTATATTTTAAAATACAGTATTTTAAAATTCATTAAAAAAACCCTCTAAAACTACACGTGAAATCGACAATAGTAGTTATTTCTGGGAAGTAGAATTGTCAAGTAGGTGTACGCGGTGGGGGAGGAATAGGGAGGGAGATCAATGGCAGAGTGGAAGATATATACACTTTTGCTATTGGAATTTTTTAAAGAATAAATACTGATTTTGTAACACAAAATATCTACTTTTTGAAAAAATAAATGTCCAAAGATGATCCATGTGGTGAATGTATAAAGCAAGTTAAAGAGACCAAATTTCTGCTATTTAGAAATTTTCCATCCAAGTTATCACTGACACACTAAAGGGATAAAAATATTTGAAAACCACATCAAGTATAGGCAAAGCAATGAATGAATTTATTGAAGTAAGTGAAAAAATTAAGAATATCATATCAGAGGCAAAGTGGCACCATTCAAAACTGTTTTTCATTTATCAATTTAAAAGTATCTGTTGATGGTTTTGCTACACAAAGGACACACTGTTAAATACTGTAAATATATAATACTTAAGGCATAATCCCAGCCTTCAGGAAACTTACTTGGTCAAACAAATTTGATCAACAGAAAAGCTTTACAAATAGGTGAACAGTTTGAAACAATAATTCAGAGTGCTACAAGTAGAAAATTATCTAGTAAAGAAAAAATAGTTATGGTTAGGGAGCAAACACATTTAGCCTACTTTCATCTGGGAAAACTCTATGTGGAAGGTGGTGTCTGGGGTCTTCTAGGCTCTTCTGGAAAGCCACAGCCTTTTCCCCTCACCACAGTCAAAACTCTGTCCATCATGCAACCAGTTCAAACATTACCCTCTGCTTCAACCTGCCAAAGTGGCACTACTCATGACCGTTTCCACGACATAATTCATACTTTCCGTATTTATCATCTACACTTAGCTGCATATCTCACAAACAAAACTGTATGCCCTCAAGAGTGGAAACTGCTTTAATCATTTATGTATCTCCAGTGACTAATGATATATGTATCTCTTCTATGCACGGTGTAAAAGTTGGTAACGATAAGAATTGGAGAGAACGTAAGGGGTCCAGTCTAGGCTAGAGGGTTTCAGTGAGCAAATTCTAACATAGAAAAGATAAAGCCGAGGTTAGTGTAGCATGTGACAAATGTTTTGAAGACCGTATGAAGGACACCATCATCAGTTTTTTTGGTTATGAGGAAAAAAAAAAGTTACTATATTCTAGGCAGGATAAATGGCCAGATCTGGCTTTTTAATGCTATTTGCATTGTGAAACAAGCATGAACAGATCTAGTTTCAAGTTCAGCATACGGTCTCCCTTTTCCTTCATAAAACACAACTGGCAGAAGTACTACTTGAAGCAAAATAAAAATATGTGGGAATGTGCTTATTTTACTAAGCCACCATGTATTTTTCCATGAATAGTATAAATTTGATAACATTTTTTCTGCTGTACAGGGATAGGGGGATACCATGGTTTGGATATAGTTTATTTGGCCCTGCCAAGTCTCATGTTGAAATTTGATCTCCAATGTGGGAGGTGGAGCCTAGTGGGAGGTGTTTGGATCATGGGGGCAGATCCTTCATGAATGGCTTGGTGCCATTATCCTGGGAGTTAGTTCTTACTCTCAGTTCCCAAGAGAACCTGTTGTTAAAAAAAGCCTGGCCTCTCTTATTTCTCTCTTACCTTCTCTCTTGCCATGTGATCTGCACATGCTTGCTCCCCTTCACCGTCCACCATGAATGGAGGCCCTGGTCACAAGCAGATGCTGGCGCCATGCTTCTTGTACAGCCTGCGTAACTGTGAGCCAAATAAACCTCTTTTCTTTGTAAGTTATCCAGCCTCAGGTATTTCTTTGTAGCAACACAAATGGACTAAGGATTAGAATTGTTTTACTAAAAATTAATTTTCTATATTGCCAAACATTACAATTATATATTCAAATTTTAAAATTTGAAGGAAGCATTTATTAAACATTTTCTGGGTATGCCATGATGTTAAATCCTGATAATATAGCTGTTTCAAACCTTTTTCAACTCATACTTCCTTTAAAACAGCACTGTCCAAAGGAAAGGTAATGTGTGCAATTTTTAACCTTTTTGGTAGAAAAACTAAAAACTCAAATCAATTATATTTTATTTAATCCACTATACCAAAAATGTCATAATTTCACCAATATAAAAATTCAGATAGTTTACTTTTGTACACATTCAAAATCTGTTACACATTTTATACTGATGGCATATCTTAATTCGGACCAGCCACATTTTAAGGGCTCAATACTCACATGAATTTCAATTATAATGAAAGACATTGGGCTAAACCCTTCCATTACGTGGCACATCTACTTGTAGACAAATGTGAATGCCTGCCATTCTGCAAACTCTATATCCTATCATTATAGATTTAGATCATGATATGCCACTAGCAGAATTTATTCATCACCAGACATTAAACTGTGAGACCAGCACTATGCCTGGTATTAGATAAATGGCTGACGCAAGGAGTTTAATTCAGCCATTCATCTATTTGTAGATACTAACATAGGTAACAGGAGTAGACAATCCTTTTTCTTCACAGCACTTGACACAGTTAATAATTTCCTGTATGTTCTTAGATTGTGTGTGTGCACGCACACACACCTGCATCTGTTTCTCCTATGACAGGCCCTGAGGGAAGGAACTAAATCTACCTTGCCTGCCATTATATTCCTGGGCCTTAGTAGAATGTGATACACAAAGCAGATGGTCAAATATCTGTTAAATGAATGAATACGGCCATGCATTGATTATCTACCTCAGTCAGCTTGTCATTTCATTACTCAGTATCTTCCGATTAGTCAAGACACATTCCACATTTTCTCAACGAAAGCAATGCACAACTGTTTTCCCTTCAGAACAATTTCTAGTAGCCTATTTCAATCATCAAAAAGTTATATGGAAATTTCCCATTAGTCAGAATCACATTTACCCTATCTTCATCAGACTCTCCTCTAAAACACGACAAAATAAGAGTGGTCGAGGCACAAATGAATGAGTACAAGAGAACAAGCCTTTCCATCAACATCTCGGGCTTAAAAAAGAAAATGACACACGTGCATCTGGAAGGAAAGAACAGTGAATATTGTTTCCCACCACACAGTCAGGAGTGGCATGGTTCTTAAGATCTCTGGAGACTTCAGAAGCTTCTTTGGCAAATCATTCAAATTAAATAACAGAAATACTATAGTAACATGATAAAGGAAAACCTAAAACTGGTAAATGTCCTGACTTTTTAAAAAAGCAAAATAAAACAGCATGTAATGACTAAAGGTGAAACCTATTACAAATCAAATCATATCAAAAACCCAAACTCATTCTTTAATGATACGAATAATATAAAGTCCTTTTGCTAGTCTTGAGATTGTAGAAATAATTTTATGTAGAGAGTAAAACCTGAGAGAATATAAAGGTCAAGAGTGAGAGCAGCTCTTATCTTTTTATTATGTATAAAATAAAATGGTACTTTAATGGTCTTGGTATTCCCCAAATTAACTTATAGTCAGTTTTATAATATTTAGCACACAGACCTCCAACTCTTGATTAAGTGTTTCCTGTTTTGCAAACTTCTGGTATGAGTAAGCATTTCATATCATTCAAGACATTTACTCATCTATTATGTGTAAATCACTCTTTTAAAAACAGAAGCATATTTACAATGCACTAAAGAAAATTACTTTTCCCTTTTCTTTTTCGGTGAGGTAAATTCAGCCTCTTCATTGTGTTTTCTTTTCTTTTTTTTCTTTTTATGGTCACTTTGGTAACCACTGGAGTCACTGCACTGGAAAACAGGGTCCTGGTCTTGATCTTCCTGGTCCTTTTTCTTCTTCTTCTTTTTCTTCTTCTTTGGCTCTTCCTCACAGAGGCCACTTACATTATTAGTAATCTGCAGGTCTAATTCTTCCTTTGGGGTGTCATCTGCAAAATCTGCTTGCTTTATGGTGACACTGTCCGCTTCATATGTCTCTGGGTCTTTCTTCTTTTTCTTTTTCTTCTTTGGAGGCTTTTCAACAACTTCTTCAGTGCCAGTTTCTGTTACTTCTTCAGAAACTTCTGAACTCTTAAATTGTAAACTGTAAATTAAAGTTTAAAAGAATTAACAGAGCAATAAGGACAAACACCAAAATTAGATCAAGAATATTCCAACATGCTAAGATTCTCTAAAAAATGACAGCAGTACAAGACATATAACTATGGCATAAATTTCAAATATTCTATTCTGTTATCCTTCAGACAACTGAAATATATACGGGCTGTTGAATATTAAATTCAACAGTGTTAAATTTAACATTAAATGTTAAATCTTTTGTTTATAAAGTACTTCTCCCAGACTGTTTTCGCACATAAAAATGGCATACAAATCCTGTCAAAACGTGTCTTCTAAATTTTGGTTTGGTTTGGTTCAGGAAAATTTGGTCACTGAACATTAAACATCATGACACCCAGGGTTCTTAGCCAAACCACTGACACTTGAGAGAGAGAAAATATGCTGCTGGTATGTATCAAAGCAATGGAGTTTCCTGTCTGCTATTTCAATCCTGCTTCAAATAATAGTCCACTGTTTTATGTAACCTATACTGAGGCAGTGTTACTTCAAAGTTGTGAATTATTTTATACCACTAAAATAAAAACAAGAATTAATGAAGTAGGTCTCTCTCCAGAACTTCATGATCTTATACACTAGCGGTAGGCAAATGTAACTATTTCAATTTAAGTAATGTCAATGATATAACTTTCAAATCTCAGTTTCTCAGTCACACTAGTCACACTTCAGGAGCTCAATGGTGAGGCTACTATAATTATGCACATATAGCACATTTCTACATTTGTATCATCACAGAAAGTTCTATTGGACAACTGTTCCAGAATGTTAACCCATATCCTTGTTACTTCAAGGCAAAATCTAGAAAAAATTTCTAATATCAGCAGTATTCCAAGTTGCCACCCACTCCGAATTTGGCTTCCATGGAACCATGCTCAAAATCAGAGTGATTCTTATAAGAATTTCAATATAGAATAATATAGAAGTTAAAATATGTACCTGGCACAGACGATGATACTCAAAACTTTTTTTTTGTTTGTTTTAAATATGTAAGAGTAAATGCAGGCTAATAGTTAGCAATATAATTGTGCTTTCAGTAATTTCAAGTTCAGAGAGCAACTTTTAATTAAAAAATTAACAACTAACTAGAAAATACTCAGCAAAATTGAGTTATTAAAATACAGATCAGCTAGACATATAATTTTAGAATATATATTTGATGCATTATTATAGACTACTTAAGATTATTACTAATATTGACTTTATGACTTGAAAGTATGAATATTGCTATAAACAGATTTTTTTTTAAAGAGCAGCTTATATTCTCTAAATTCAGAATTAAGTAGAAACAATGAAGTATCCAATGATAATTACATGATCATGAACTAACCTGCTGATATTTAGTTTTCCCCGAATGCAGAATACTCCAGCAGCATCTGAGTCTAAACGAAATACTTCAAACTCTAGTTCATCACCCAAGTTTATCTCCAGGGTTTGCCACTGCTCAGCTGACAACTGCTCAGGTTTAGGAATGGAAGCATTAAAACACCCATGCACTAAACAGCCAATGTGGCTAGAAGACACTTTATTAACTGTACCCTGGGAAGAAGAAAGAAGGAAGAGTATAACATTAAGAAGAGATCTGCAGAGTTAAAAGGTGAACTAAACTTTATAAGCTTCAAATGGATCTTCAAAGAGAAAACATCAATTAATGATATAATTTAATAAGGAAAAAGTTTACCTCAATTAAAACTTACCACATGTCACACCAAAACATCCCTTTAGAACACTACTGAGTTTTTAGAAAGCTCAAACTTTATTAAATAAGTAATTGCACATCAATTGTCTAACTGCATAAACTACTAATCATCCCCCTCCTCCAAGAAAACACCTTAGCTCCCATTGCAGGACTCCTTGGGGAATAGATTATTGCTGTTTAATCACACTGCAACCAAGCAAAAAATACTCTCTGATATAACCTACATGTGAAAAGACCTCAAGGCAGGAAGCACATGCTTTTTAAAACTCGGATCCACATTACATTTCTGTAAACAGACTGAATTTCAAAGCTTAAAAATGCCTTCTTTAATGATTCAATTTAGCATGATGTAAGTAGTCCTATTAAAAGAGAGCTTACCCTTTATATGTAAATTTTGAACATGCCTATTTTGGCTAAATCACGAAAACATTATTAAAAGCTTTAAAACTAAAAAAAATATGTGCTATATGATTTTAAACTTAAAACTTTCCAAAAAACTTATTTTTCACCTTGAGATCAACATACACCAGGTATAAAACTGAAGACCATGAAACATTAAACAAGAAATTCACATTTTCTGAATCACAGGACTCTAAATAATATCAACACATACACAATGCTGTTTAACATCAACAATCCTTTACACGTGTGACAGAATAAAACTTCATTATCTGTCATGATCAGGATTCTGGTGTCCTCATTGGTAGTTTCTGGAAGGTCTAAATAAACTGTGGTACATCCATAAAATGGAATATTACTCAGCAATAAAAATAAATAAGCTTTCGAGCCATAAAAAGACACAAAGGAATCTTAAATGAAAACTGCTCAGTAAAGAACCCAATGTGAAAAGGATACCTACTGTACAATTCCAACTATATGACATTCTGGAAAAGGTAAAACCATGGAAATAGTAAAAAGAGCAGTAGTTGCCAGGGATTAGAAGGGAGGTAGGGAGAGAGAAATTAATAGATGGAGCACAGGGGATTTTCAGGAGGGTAAAACTATCTTGTAGGATACTATAATGGTGGACACATGCCACTATACATTTGTCAAAACTCACAGAATATACAACACAAAGATTGAACTATAATGTAAACTACTGACTTTAATAACAATATATTGATATTGGCTCAATAATTGCAACAAATGCACCACACTAACACAAGATGATGTCGGTAATAGGGGAAATTGTGTCTTTGGAGGGGTATACATGGGAACTCTGAACTCTCTGCTGAATTTTTCTGTAAATTTAAAACTGCTATAAAAAATGGAGTCTATAAATTATAAAAATCAATGAAAGAAAAGTCTTTTGAATATCTGAGTCTGGAACAATTGGATAACTACACGGAGAAGAAAATGAATCTCAAGGCCCTCATACTATGTGCAAAAAATTATTTAAGAATGATCACAGACCTAAATGGAAAAACTAAAACTAAGAGCTTCCTGAAGTTTACAGAAGAATATTTTCACAACCTAGGTGCAAATAAATTTCTCTGATAGGATACAGAAAGCAATAGCCATAAAAGTATAAAATGATAAATTGGAACTCATCAAAAGTACTTGTTCATCAAATGATACCACTAAAAGTTAATAAACAAGTCACAGACCGGGAGAAACTATTCACAATACATTTATCTGAAAAGGATTTGTACCAATACTAAAAAGAACTAAAATTCAATAATAAAAATACAAAAATACAATTAAAAATGGGCAAAGTACTTGAATAGGCCCTTCTCATTGAAACATATAAAAAACTGCTCATGAGAGAAATGCAAATTAGAATCTTGAGATACCACTATATGCCCACCAGTAAAATTAAAAGACTAACAACACCAAACTTTGGCAAGGAGTCAGAGAAGCTTAAGAGTTGAATGGAAAACTAGTCTGACAATAGTTTATCATAAAGTTAAACACACACATGTGCCCTGAGACTTAGCACTTCCACTTCTAGTTATTCACTTAAGAGAAATAAAAATGTATATTTGCAAGAGATTTATTCATGATAGCCCTGGACTGGAAATAATCCAAATGTCCATTAGTGAAAATGAATAATCATATTGTGATATATTCATGCAACTGAATACCATGAGCAATAAAGAGGAACAAATCAACAATACACATAAAAGCACGGCTGAAACAAAAAAATGCTGACTGAAAGAGGCTAGATTTTAAAAGAGTAGATAATAATGATAATTCCATTAATATGGAATTACAGAATAAGCAAAACTAATTTTTGATAAATGAAATCAGAATAGTAGCTGTGTCTGGAATAGAGAGGGAATTAAGCAGGAAGGGTCATGAGGGTCCTTTGTGGGAGATGGAATGCTATACAGACTTGTCGAAATTCATTGAACTGAACAATATAATCTGTGTATTTTATTATATGTAAATTATATCTTGCTAAACATAAATAAAAATTGAAAATAACTGGTTAAAAGCATTTGAGGACTGAATCTTATAGGGGATATAATAAAAGGGACATTTTTCATGTCATACTTTGTGTACAATTTGAATGTTATTTCCATGTACATGTTTACATTTATAATAATAATTTACACAAAACAGATGGAAGTTAAGTTTCGGAATTTCAGAGTACAAATCTACTGCCAACTTTAATAGTTTGGATTACAGTTATACGATTCCAGTTTGGCAGGCAAAAGATAACTATTCCCATTAGTTTGATACTGAAAAAAAAACATTAGAAGTGCCTTGTTGATTTTGTCATAGTGAAATCTGATCTACATTCTTATTAACAATATTAAGGGTTAGTTAACAATTCTTATCTATTAGATTAAACAATTCCTATAAATTTTTTCTTTATTATCTAGAGAAAAAACCATATACACACATGAATATACATACATATATGAAGATATATGTACACATACGCAGAACTGCTAAAGGAACAGAAGGGCAAGTAAAGAGGATAAAGGGATATGTTTCAGTAGATTTCACATCAATTTCTGCATTTCTAGGTTCTGAAAAACTGGAAGACCTTCCACACAGGGCCTTCATTTCCTAGGTACAGACTAGCTGCCTAATGAATCATTCATTCATTTTCACTATCTACCTGGCTCCACAACCATTCAAACTCCTGTTTTATATAACATTATACTCTTTAAATCCTTTATAAAGAAAAGGTATTTGTGTGGAATTGAGAAATTTTAAAATAATAACAACAATAACTGATTATTTTCCCTTAAGATCGTTGTGGTACTAATAGAAAGAATAAATTGGATAGGACATATGTTTTGTGCATGCATGTGTTTTAGGAAATTTAAAAGTTAAAAAGTTTAAAAACTTACCTAGGTTGAACTGACAGAAACTAATTTTTTTCCTTTTAAAATAATTTTTAATTTACCCACAATAGCAATTTACTTCAAAGTATATATAATCTCTTAAAATTTTCAAAATGACATGATTATAATTATACAAAGAAAGCTAGAAAAAATGATATACATACCATAAGCTTCTGCCCTGGTTCAGGGCAGAAAATAACAAAATCTGCTTCAATGTTAAGATGAATATGTCCTTGATCATCATAAATATCTCCCAGTTCACCCACAACTTTGATGTTATCATATGCAATGGGGACCCCTAAAAGACTGTAAAAGAAAGAAGAAGAAAATGCTATCTTTTATTCTCTTTTAAACTAGGCCATTTAGATTAGATATTCTAAGTATCCAAAAATCATATATCTCCTAAATATATCACCCATGTCAAAAACACCATAGCACATGATTATAGTCTGTAACAACTTTAGCAATCCCATTTCACAAAAGGGTTCCAGCGTGTTGGCTAAGTTAAAAATGATTATTAGAGATAGGTACTGAGAAATGAAATGCCCAATTATGCATGAGCAATAAATCAACCCTTCCCTATTTGAATTGTAGTCATGCTAGAAAGAGAAATAATAGGAGTTGGCAAGGAAAATGTTTGTGTATTTCTTTGAGTATGACTGACTCACAGGCAATTTTGGTATTATCCACCATTACTGAATTTCCGTACTTGACGGCAGGCATATAGTAAGGGAAGCATTAGGGTTAAACTGGAAGCCCCTGAATATTAAAGCCAATGACTTAAATAGAGAAAAATCCCAAAATGTACCTGTTGCTAGTAAATGGAAATGTTAAGAAATACAACTACATTATTTATTAAGAACTGATTCTGACACTTTAGATTAGTCTACAGATTTCAGTGTCAGTTTAGGGGGCAACTATTTTTCAAAATGCTATTTCCTAGTTCTTAAGGAATTATAGCTACTAAAGAGAAAGACCTGATGGCTTCACTACCACATCCACTACTTGTTGGAGAAAACCACCCAGACTCCCCTAGGCAAAGTTAAAATCATTCCTCTACTCCTCTACAGGACCTCATGTACAACTTATTAAATTTTATTGAATCTACCTGTATATATGTTTGGATTCTACACATGATTTTAAGGCAGCAGAAATCATTTTTTTAATGAACTCAATTAAATATCTAGCATGATTCACATAAAATAAGGGAAAGAATTTATCCCTAATAGTTGTTTTAGTAAAACAGGAGCCACAGTAAAGAAATTTTAATAACTACCAAATTATGAAAACCATAAACTCAGAGACTTACTCAGGAAAGCACTCTTCTGAGTAGTTAATTTTTGCATGTGGCTTTCCTAAGCAGAAACCATACCATCGTGAAGACAATATTAGGGACACAGAAAACACAGAGTTAGAGAGCAGGAAGAAAAAAAAGTAACTCCAACAAAAATTAAGACTTTGCTCCCCCTGATTAAAGCCTTCTCTCTTAACTGTCAGAGAGTGATTCTCAAGTAGAAGGAGTACTGCTGTCCCCTAGGGCTGCGGTCCCTAATACCAGGGCCACGGCTGGGTACAGGTCCATGGCCTGTTAGGGAATGGGCTGCACATGACCGCCTGAGCTCTGCACCACCCCCTACTCACCCATCACTCACCCCCCGGGGCCATGGAAAATTGTCTTCCATGAAACTGGTCCTTGGTGCCAAAAAGGTTGGGGACCGCTGCCCTGGGGGACATTTGAGGATTTGTGGTGCTAATCATGATTGTCACAAACATTGCAAGAACCAAGGAAGAGAGATAGTTTGCTATGTACAGGATAGTACTGTTCAATGAAGAAAGATCCTTAGCTCTGCATGACTTTTGAATAAGAGGACAAACCTGTTTATAAATAGCTAGGCATATAATCTAACTCTTAAAAAACAGATCAACACAAAGTCATCTTGGCATGTTTTAAAATACATTAAAATTCACAGGAATGTAGTAATACGTAAATTCAAGGGGAGATTGTTCTGTGTGGCTCTTTATCAAGAATTACTCACCTATTTCAGAATAGCATTGGTAACCAGAGATACTGTATGTGTTATGAGCTATCAATTCAAAACACCTGCATCAATCCACATTTGAAACTGACACATTCACAGTGATTCTTTCGTGTTGGTCCAGGAGGCACCTAAGTACTTCAGTCTTCCCAGGGAGTCATGCCTGACCATATTGAAACACATTTTGTTGCAGTGTATTGGAATACTCTATATACTTTTCTTTTTCTTTTGGAAGTTGTGTAGGTAGATTATATTATCTGTAGATTTCATTTTAGCACAGTAATGAATGTTTTCACAATAGTGAAGGTGGTACTGTGAAATATTTCTTATATTAATAAAAGGGAGGTATTGAGTACTATAGGGTTCAGACAGATGACTAGGAAATATGACTTTAAGGCCAAAAGAGTTTGTGTAAATCCATCAAACCTGTGAGAAAGCAATTCACAGCATGTAGCTTATTAACAGTCATCGGATAAAGACAGACACCCAAACATAACTACACACCTTTTTCTTCTTTACTTTTGTTTTTTAGAAACCGTCCTAAGTAAGTGTTAGTGCAGTGGGTAGCCTCACTTGATATTTTGTAAGATGTTCAATGTTTTGTCCCTCATCAGTAATGCACAGTTCAAAGTGTAGTGCCTGATTTGCACTGAATAAACAGGAGTCCTTAGCGTATCCCAGAAGAACGAGGAAGGAGAGCTGTTGAAATCTGTTCAGAGCCACTCTGGGTGACTGACTTTCCCCTACCTGTCAAGCGGAGGCAATAGTTGGTTACAGAAAAGAGGAACATATCTGCCTATGTTTTCAGATTTTATGACCACCTTGTATATCTTTAAATCTCTCAAATCCATCCTTTCTAATCATTTTTCTCTTGGACAATTATAACAACTTCTTAATTGGTCCCCTCATCCACTGTCTCATCCTATTTAAGCCATCATATAATGCTACCAAGTGCTGTTCTTAAACTGCAAATCTGATTATGTGCTAGGGATTACAGGTATGTACTACTCTCTGAAGAGTATGGCAAGTCGCAGTGTTAGAGGGTACTGAAAGGATGAAGAAATAGCCCTCTTCAAGAAAATAGAAAAACAAAACAAAAACACTAACAACCCCCCACACACAAAAACAAACAAAACCCCAAAAAACTGTTAAAGGCAGGAAAAGCAAAACGGCCATCCACTCTGAGTCACCTCCCACCCCTGTCCTTGAACCCCTCACTTCCTCTCCAATGGCGCCCAATGCCTTTCCCCTGACATAAACCTTATTCCAGTCATCTAGTACTTACAGTTCTCCGGTAAAGCATACTAGTTCAATCTACAACCCACTTGTTTATGCCACGCTCTTTGCCTGGAATGTTACCACCTGAAAGTATCCTCTTCTGCTTGTTCTCAAAGGTCGCCAGATCCAATTCACCACTCCTTCTCTTATTACAACTTTAGATTTCTGTCGAATTTTAACACGCCACTGGATTAACTGTCTTATATCTCTACTACAGCTTAAAGCTCCTTGAAACATAAATTTTATTTTTTGTTTTTATATCTCAAGTCCCTGGTATATAATATAGACACACAAGTGTCTGTTGGTGCTTGGAGGAAACTGTATATTCTGGACAAGCTTGACTCTTACGATGTTTGTGGGGGTCCTGGATCCATTGAGAGAGTGGTGAAAGCTTTGGATACTGTGCCTACGGATACTACGGATACTCAAGAACTTCCAACAATTTCCGAGGGTTCATGGAATTCCTGAAGGGCAACCATGACTCTCTAAGGAATCCATTCACCCTAGTTTTAGAGTTCCTCTTTTGAACCAAAGTAGCCCCGAGTAATACTAAAGCACATCTCCCCACACCCCCGTAATTACGAGTTTTCATGTCACTTTTGAATACCTTAATTTAAAAGCACCAAAAGATTTTTTTTCTCTCAAGAGCAATAGACTCACCAGTTCAAATAAATAAACTCTTCAAAATAAAACAAAACTAATAGTATTTCCCTCATCCCCGATCACGTCCAAGAAAAGAGAATCCGGGGAAATTACCAGGGCCAAAACAACAAAAACTGCCCTTCATGTTATACAATTAAACAGTTGTACTACTGCTTCACGTGCAATCTTCTATGGAATGAAAGAGAATGTACTGAAGTACTGCATACCAAATTTTCATTACCAATGAGAAAACATTATCTGGAAGGGGCTAAATGTAACGTTCAATGCAAAACACAACTGGGCCTACCACGTCTGCAAACCCCTGTTCTATACTTCTTCATACAACAGGGTTCTGGAGCGAGATTCTCCACTCCCTCCGCCGACACCTGAACTTCACCTTTAAGCTTTCTTCTATGCCTGTGACGGGGACCCTGTACAGATCTCTACCAGTGCGGTACTGGCTTTGAGGGGCGGATCGCGACTCTAGAATCCCGGGCTAAAATCACTGGGGCCGATGCAAATTTTACCATTCACCCCTTTCCTGCTGCGCCATCATCTCGTCCACCCACTGCCCCTTCCCGCGCCCAAAAGAAGGCGCGGCAAACCACGTTATGTCATTGCGGGCTCGGAGAAGAAAAAGTTAAAAAGACCTTTATACCTCTCGGAATAGCGGAGGAGTTCCGCGTCTAGTTGCTCTCGGATGCCGGTGCGCTTCCTATTAAGGTAGCGAGGCGACAGGGCGATGTGCCTTCGGTGTGGCCCGGCCACCAGGCAGGAGTAGCGGCTATTCAACAGCGCACAAGCAGCAGCATAGGTAGGAAGCTCTAGGCAAGGCAGGACGCCTGCAGATCCTGCCAGGGACCCGTCAGAGGCCGTATTGGCCCGCAGCGCCTCTGAACAACCCGCAGCCATGCTGCTTGTCAGGTTTCCCACGGCGCGCGGCACTGACGCAACTGCCTCTACCCAGACGCCGGATTTTACGTCACCTACCAGCTACCACGCCCCTAGGAATTTTCTCTCCTCGAGCTGCATTATGCAGGTCTGACCAGCAGGGGGAAACCGCATTTTCGCGCTTCGAGGACTGGGGAGCGCGGAGCCTGTGGTACATATTGAGCATGCGCGAAAGCCAACCAACTTGTCTTAAACGCCGGCAAACGTGTTTTCACAAACGTCCTCATTCGATTTAATAGGTAGTTGGGGGAGGTTGCCACTTTGATCATTTCCAGTAGTAAAGTGGTTTGGTAGAATTTTTCAGGCTTGGATTGTGCAATAATAAATCATATAATTCTTATGGAATGTATTTTAGGCGGTGAACCCAATCGTAAAAAGCAGCCCAGATGCCTCAAATGCAACATTCTGAAAATGAACCCACTATTTCTCTCCAGTCTGCTTCTCTCCTCATTTATGCAATCGCTAAATCAGGGAATCGTACCACTGCTTCCCAAGTGGCTCAGCCCAGCTGTCACCCTCAGGCCTCTCTTGTACCGACAAAACAAATCAAATTCGTCTGAAGGTCTGTGTTGTCCAAAGCGAAAACATCACTCTATGTAGATACTTTTCTCTATCCTCACAGCCAAAACTACAGGATTTCTTTCCTGCTTGAGTAAGCCTCTCTTAATGGTCAAAAGGACACTCTGGGGCAGGTAGATCTTCCCTGAAACACAAAGATGATCATGGTGCGCCCTGCTTAAAGCCCTACATAAACACAGCATTTTCCCTAGAGTAATACAAAATCCTTAGTATGGCCCCTAAGTTACAAGGCCATTTTATGATCTGCCCTTAGATTCTCTCTTCAGCTTAATTTATCCTCCTCCCCACCCTAATATTGTCATGCTCACTGATCCACTGTCAGGTCGCTCTCTCTTTCTCTCTCTCTCTCTCTCTCTGTCTCTCTCTCTCTAGTCTTGGGCTTTTCTTTCCACCAGAGAATATGGTAGCTTCTCTCAAATGAGTAAATTCTACTCCTGTGTCAAGTTTTAACTTAGATTCTCTTCCTTTGTTTACTTCTACCTTACCTCTCTTTCCTCATAAGGATTAAGTAGTTCCCCCTCTATGTTGATTTTTATGTTAATTTATGTTAACTACCTATTTGCTTGCCTGTTCCACCACTAGACTTCAAACTCTCTAAGGATGAGACCATGATCTCTGTCTTGTTCATAGCGGCAGCTCCCATATGACTCAACCTCCTTCCTCAAAACAAATGAAAGAAACCTATCCAAGCATCCTAAATGAATGACTGAATAATGAATGAATGAATGAAATAACAAGTGGTAAAGAGCTCACGGCCTAACTGGAAATGGAATCTAAACATAAACACATAACACAGGTTATGCTGGATAATTGTCCAAAGAAATGTATAGCAAGGAGTGGCGTGAGTACTAACACACCTCTCTCTGTCTCTCCTAGTTACTGAAAATGCCTCCAACTATTCTAAACCTGTTTTCTCATTTGTAAAATAGGGATAATAATACTTGTCTTGCCTACCTTGAAAAGATAATGGGAGGTTCAAATAAGATTTAAAAAAAGAATTTTATTTAGTATTCTTTATCTGACTGCAAATTTAGCATGAAATGATAATGGGATGAAACTGCTCCCAAAGCCCCAGTGATAGACATTTTAAGTCCATAAGTACAAAATTCAGTGGCTTTTTCCTTAATTTTGTTGAAAAGTTCCGTAATACTCCTTCGCAGGACCCCTTTGTTCAGTGTTCCCTAACTCGTCTAAACGTTGAAATCACCTAAGGAGCTTTAAAAACGGTGCCCAGACAACACCCCTGACCAATTAAATTGAAATCTCTCCAGGTGATTTCACTTTGCATTCAGGATGGTTCTAGTTGGGCTGCAGGTGATTTGAATGAAAAGAAAAGATCCAAAAACAAATTTAGTAAAAAACAAAGTGGATATCATGACAATTTGGCCCAAACAAAGCTTTACCTGAAATCAAATACCCCAATAATTATTTTACACAAATATTAAATGTGGTGGGCCATGGAGTAGTTTTGTAACCCTTGATGTGTCCAGAAGCAGTTAGAGGTTTGCTTGTTTGATTTTGAAAATTGTTATGTAATTTTTAGTTTTCAAAATTCTGGCTTATAGCCATTACCCATGCTCTGCATGATTTGGAAGAGCACAAGGCGATTCTGCCTGCGTGTGAATGTTCACCTTTATGGAGTTCTTGACCACATTAGCCTGGTCCAGCTTCCACCCAGGCAAGAAGAAAACAGAAGTACCGTGAGACCCTTCCTACCTATCCCCCATACCACACACATACACACAAAGCTGATTTGTTCAAGACCTATAGTTGGACTGAACCATGTTCTTTTTCTCTAAAATTTGTCAAAGTTCCAGAGAAAGTAAGGAAGTGGTGGTTTCTCTCTAAGGAAAAGCCCTGTCGAGCCAAGGGCAAGTATATGCTGAGAAAATCCCCATTCTACAAGGAGGAGAGAGGTTAGATATGATTTTAATCCCATGACCAATTGCCCTAGAAAAAAAAGAGAGAAATTTTCCTGCAACTATCTGTATTATTTTGTCACTGACCTTGCGACTTCCAACATACACATCCATACACCTTATTATTGTATTAGTGTCCTTCCATTCCTCACAAGTAGATCATCCCTGAAGCAATGTAAATGTGCAATAATTGGTGGTTTGCTAAAATAAATTATGGTAGTTACAAAATAACATGTGCCATATGCTTTGATTTTTACAGGACACATGCACACCGATACGCTTAGAAAAGAATTTGGATGTACGAACACAATCATGTGCCACATAACGAAATTTGGGTCAATGATGGACCACGTATATGAAGGTGGCCCCATAAGATTATAATACTGCATTTTTACTATACCTTTTCTATGTTAGATATGTTTCGATACAGAAATACTTACCATCGTGTTACAATTTCTTACAATATTCAATAGAGTAACATGCTGTACAGGTTTGTAGCCTATTTCTCGGAATATATCTCTGTAGTTGAGCAACCCATGACTATAACATATGTTAATATTAGTTCTCTCTTGAGGGTGAGTTTATGCTCTGTTTTTTACTTGTGCAAATTTTGGTATTATTTTAATTACTTGGCATTATTTTACATTAAAAAAAGAACAATCTGAAACTTAATCAGAAGATTTTGGTTGTTACAGAAAATTGTCTAGTTTCAGATGGTTTAATAGTACAAAATGAGGAGCCTTCCTGGATGCTAACGTCACATTACTTGAGTTCAAATCATAACTCTGCCACTTACGAGATGTATGAAGTTAGGCATGTTTCTTTCGTTTTTTTTTTTTTTAAAAAGCTAAAATTATTAGAGTAGAATTTTATGAAGGAATGGAATCAGACAGGAATTTTAACTCTTTGTAACGGTTTACATGAAAGAGTTTCATATAAAGGACATTCCAAGTAAAAACACCATTGTATCAGCTGGCTCTTGGTTCATAACAAGCTATCCCCAAATTTAGTGGTTTTAAATTATATCATTAACTCATAGTTCTGTGGGTACAAATTTGGGCTGGGCTCAGTTGGGTACCTGTGGTCATATGTGGCTGCATGCATGTCACCTCCCAGCAGGCTACAGTGAGCTGGCTTTCCTTGAGCTATGCCGGTTTCCAAGAGAGAGGGAAGCACAAATGACCTCTTGTCTGACACAATGTCAATCCAGTGTGTGGAATGCTTCTGATCTCATGTACTTTGTTCTTTGCCTAAAGAAGCTCAAAAGTAAGTCTGTCGTATATCAGGTGTGCACGGGAAGTCTCTAGATATGCCCATCCTGGATAAAGAGCAATACTAGTACGGGCAGGAAGGGTTTCATCTCCCTTATTTGGCTGATTTTATCAAATTGGTGGAATGAATGATGAGCATCAACATCACAATGACAAATAGGATCATTATCCTCGTGGCTGAGCTTTATTACAACCTGCCAGGTGCTGTGCTAAGTGCCTTATGCGAATCACCAACAGAGGATCTTTATGACTTTATTACAATTGTTACATATATTTATAGAGGAGGAGACTGAATTCTAGGGACAACTAAAAAAAAAGTTGGCCCCATGATGGCAATCCTATCTATATTCTTAGTAGTCATATGCTCAAGGCCTAGCATCTACTTCTTGAGTGAATGGATGAATGATGTTCCCAAGGACGCATAGCTATTGATCAATCAAGGGATCTAATCCAGGCATGACTTGTCCTTATAACTGATTCTTGGAATCTCTAAAGAGCCTCATTTTTTCCAGACATATGACAAAAACTGATAAAGAAACTTTAACAGTCAGGAAAACGGATGGCTTATTTTATTTAGCCTCTGCCTAAAAATGCTAAGATGGGAATCAGAGCAAATTGGTAAATATTACCCTTTAAAAAGACCTGGGAAAGTGTCACACAAGCACTAGTTTTTTCCGAAGTATGAGTGTTGGTGGTCTTGCAGAAAATAGTTCAGGCAATATGGCTTATAGAAGCCAGATACTAGAGTCAGGTCTTCTGGGTACAAATCCTGGCTCTATCACCTTGGATAGCTTGCTTAGTGGTTTTAAACTTCAACTTCCTAATCTTTGGTGTAGAGGTATGATGATAACATGAAGTTGTGATGATCTAACAAAATAATGACAGTGCACCCCTAAGCACAGTGACTGCCTGTATTAAGAGTTCAATGGCATATCTTTTTTGAGTCCATGATTGATGGCTCTGATATAATATGCTTGATTCAACCTGATTAAAGATGGAAAGCTTAACTTTAGACCAGGAGCATATACCCTTCTTCAATAAATAACAAAGTACAACCCTGGATATAAGAGGAAGATTTTGATAGGATTATAAATAAAAACTGGTGGTTGCTATGGCCCCACTTCTCTGGGAATAACTTTTTCTTTGTTCTGTTTTGGTGTTATTACTATGATCAAGTTCAGATCCTCCTCACTGTACTGTAATTATAAGTATACTATATAGGACATGAACA